AATCTAAACACCACGAAACATAACATAGATAGTAATGAAAATATCTATTGTTACATGAAAATAGACGTCACCGAGGCTACCCCTTTAAATGTTGTTGCCAGCTCCACTCCACATATCCGAACTTGTAGTTTGCACCGTCTTGAATATCCAAAATCTCCCTGTTATGTTTATCCTTGAGGAAATTGCACGTCCAGTAGTAGAAATCTGTTCCCCTTTCAAGTCGACCCGTGGCCAATAACTCCTGCAAGCATGTTTTCGCGTCGGACACAGGTGGTCCAATTAACTTGTCAATTTTGGCTGCCACCTTCTCGCTAGCATCGGTGGCATGATCCACTGAGTACGACACGTCTTTCGCAGACAACTTTTTCTTCTTCTCTGTAGGTCGACCTCTAGCTGCTTTCCGTTTATCACCACTGTGCGGCCCCGACATATCCAAGGATGGTACTGCCGAAAAGGGTTCGACGGCCTCGTCACTAGACCCACTGCTCTCCACATTCACCGGGATTTCATCACGATGATCTTCAGTAGCACTGTCTTCGAACATTGCGAAGCCGGTGCGAGATAGCTTACTTGGAGTCACAGCGTACTTGTCGTTGTCAAAAATGTCCCCGAACAACGTCTTCTTTCGGTTGACCTCCCGGCAATCTTTGTCCTTAAACTCCTTATAGTCTTTTTTCTCCTGTTGCAGTATGAAGAGAAAATGAGGTTCAACATTATGCATGTACGAAATATGAGTGTTTGATCAAAAACCATCTACGAAATAATTTTAATCATATAAACTATTCAGAACAAAATGTTTCTTTGGGGTTTCAGATTTCGATTTATCTAGTACTGCTATAGCCTTCAAGGAATGCCAAAATCTGATTGCCTAGAGAAAAATTGGGCCTTTTGTCATTATCATAGATTGTGCCTTTTGTCATTATCATATATTCTCAATCAATGCCATGGAAGAAAAATTGTGCGTTTTGTCATTATCACATATTGTTAGAAGTCATCACATGGGTGTGGCCTACTGATGACAATATCCCATGAACGAATACATGAAAATAAACAAACCAGGTCCTAAACTCCCGTGCATTTATTGAAAGTGGTGCAAACTGTATAGTAAACATATTGTTGTAGTATTCACAAGTTGCCTGGATTGTCGCGTTCAATATATGTAGATGCTTAAAAATTTTGGAATTCATTTTGTTACAGTAATGT